AAAGCAGCTGTAAAAGGCGGCCCCGTCCAGGAAACACACAGCCAGGCAGACGAGCTCCGAGCCAGCTCCCATGTCAGAGGATGACACAGGATACAGAAATATATGGTGGTGTAAAACGGCAGGGTTAAATGTTGCACATAGAGAGACGTGAAAATGTGAAAACAATCCTCCTGTGAAGCTCATCCAGACCTTTTTTTATATATAAAATAAAATACTATAAAAAATGTATATATATATATATTAAATAAAAACATTTTACAAAATAAAAGCTGAATGCATTATATACTATGGGTAGTTGATTGAGACTTTATTTATGGTGTATGTGATGGAAACATAAACTAAAATCCTTGTTTTACCTCTTGGCAAATAAAGTCGCCCTGATTACTCTAACAACACTGCATTTAACCACACTGTTCCACTTCAACCTTCTGCACCATTTCATGTCAGTACAAGAAAACTTAGACATGGAGAACAACTTTATATCCTCCCATTTGAAAGAGGCTGGTGCACACAGTCCAAACTCGGGGGACTGATTTCGTAATTTGAGCGCAGCGAGTTTTAGAATCTGCATGCATAGAACAGTCCAAATGTGCATAGAGAATAATTTATGTGCATGTGTTTTAAAACTAGTCGTATCAGTATTTATTAGGTGTGTGTGCACACTTGGCATATGTTTGACTAACTGCTCACTCTTTTGCAGGGTATTCTGTCACGCAGGCCTATCATTTACTTTCTGCAAAGGATCAAACCATCGTAGCAGGTGAAATCCCTCCTTCATTCTTCAATTAATTATTGACCCATCTGCTTGTAGGGTGTCTTGATTCGTTGACTGATGTGTCGATGTGTTAAACAGGGGCTCCTAGAGATAATAAAATGGATGCTCGTGGTTCTGTGATGCTGATTGTTAAGGAGTCTACTGATCTGGTGATTCAGAAGACTCTAAGAGGTCAACAGGTTGGATCGTACTTTGGTAATGCAGTGGTAGCCGTGGACCTGAACAGTGATGGGTGAGAGGTCCTGGTGTTTCTGCCGTTGCTTTCTAATGGAAACCAGAACACACCTTCTGGCTACTGGGTTTAAAACTGTTTACGTTGGATGTTCTTTTCTGCAGCTGGAACGACCTGCTAGTGGGTGCTCCTTTTTACTTCAACCGTCAGCTGGAGGTGGGTGGGGCAGTTTACGTTTATATGAATGGAGGGGGGAGGTTCCCCTCTGAACCCAGCATGGTTCTGACAGGTCCAGTTGGATCTGCTTTTGGAATGGCTATTGCTGCTGCAGGAGACCTCGACCAAGACGGCTTTCAGGGTGAGGCAGCTGCGTGACGCTGATGTTTAGTCATCAGTCAACGATGACCAGTCAGGTGGATGTGATGCTGTATTTCAGACTTTGCAGTGGGAGCTCCTTTCCATGATGCAGGACTTGTAATGATCTGGACCGGAAGCAGAGAGGGTGTTTCTGCAGAACCAAGTCAGGTAAAGATTTCTTGTTTCAGAACAATGTGAAATGTGATTTGTTAAAACGACTAAATGTATCAATCCATGTTGTATTTTAAAACAAAAACCATTTCTCAATATGTGTACTTGTGCGTTCTCATGTGCTTATGTGCTCAAAAAACGGCACCAGCCTCAGCCCTATTACTGTTCCGGTTCACAAGAACAAGAAGAACTGACAAATTCCCCAGATGTTGTTCTCACCCTCCCTCTTTTCCCAGCATGCATCAGAGCAGACTTGTCTGCTGTTGAGATTTACAGCTGTCCCAGCATGCATTGCGGCAGCTTCCAGGGGAGCGCTCACAGAATCAAAGTATTAAGTTTAACGTTCTCTTTTCTGTCGCTGTTGCTCTATAAAAGTACGTTTTAAGATCATTTGAGGCGAGAACATCATACGTTTAAGCTTCATTATTTGGCCTATTTACTGATTTGGTGCATACAGTAATTTAAAAAAAAAGTTCAGATGTTGGGAGCAACAGCAGCCAGGGCTAACGTTGGCCCGTCTCCTAGCAGCCCTCTCTCAGCATACATGTAGCCGTGTGTGAAGGACCGCTGGCTCTGATGGCAGTTTTTTTTTGTTTTATTTGGCAAAATGTTAAAGTTTGTGTTTATCTGTCTGTGGTTATTATTATTCACCCAAAAATTGAACAAAAGTCTGAATTTATTATTATCTAGAGAATATTAATAACAGGAGGTAATATGCAGAGATGAGCCGAGTGTGTGGTGATGTCATCAGTACGCTTCTGTGCTCCCGTTCTTCCAGAGTCCAGACTTTCCTGTGTTCTTCTCAAGAACATACTTGGTGACGGCACGAGTCTATACTCGCGTTCTTGTGAATTGAGAAATGGCCAAAGTCTTAAAGACTTCTGAAACTGGAGACATGTCTTTTAAAACTGTGAGAAGTTAACAGAATACAGAAATGTCTACAATGAGGAAACGTCCCCATAGCCCAGAAACATTTCCTTCCATCAATCTGTCCACCAACTGGTGTCTCCTCCGAGTGGGACATGTCTGAAAAACCTTTGGTGGAAGGCGATAGGGTAGAGTTATTTTGACCTAATGCAGCAGCAGCTCTGTCTTCCCTGGATGATGAGCTACAAATCCTGCCTCCAAGGCTGACCGCAGCTAACCAACACTGAAGCTCATTTCAGTGGCTTGTATCCAGAACTTAACATTTCAACCATGATCCTCATCTCATCTCCAATTTCTGGGAAAAGGTGAGGTTCTGCATGTAAACAGATTGATGGATCAACTTTTACAAGAAGATATTTTTTATTCTTCTCAATAATTAGTGGCTTCACCGAATTCCTCCTTAAAGGAAGGATTTAAGGCATGGCAGGTTTATTTGTATAACACAATTCAGTACCTGGGGAATCCAAAGTGCTTTACATGAATTAGACAATAAAATAAAAGAAAAAGAAAAGCAGAATAAAAGCAAATAAACATAAAAATCTTTGTTAACAGTTTAACTTAAGCAGTCAAAGGTTTTTTTGTTGTTTTTTTTACTTTGACTTAACGAACTCAGGCTTTCAGCACCTTTAAAGTTTTCTGGGAGTTTTTTCCAGATCAGTGGAGCATAGGAACTAAATGCTGCTGTTCCATGTTTGGTTCTAGTTCTGGGTGGACAGAGCCGACTGGAACTAAAAGACCTGAGCGGTCTGGGAGGTTGATCCACTGATGACAAATCTGTTATATATTGAGGTGCTGATCATTCAGTGATTTCTAGACTAACAGAAGGATTTATTCTCTGAGCTACAGGGAGCCAGTGGAAGGACTTTAGAACCGGCCTGATGTGCTCTACTTTCTTAGTTCTAGTGAGAACATGGGCAGCAGTGTTTTAGATCAGCTGCAGCCGTCTGATGGACTTTTTAGGCAAACCTATGAAGACACTGTTGCAGTGATAAATTCTACTAAAGATAAAAGCATGAAGGAGTTTTTCTAGATCCTGATTGGTCATTAGTCCTGTAACCCTGGAAACGTTCTTCAGGTGATTAAAGGTGGACCTGGTAACTGCCTTCATGGGCCTCTGAAGGTTCAGATCTGAGTCCATCACAACACCAATATTTTAGCCATAATCAATGGTTTCTAGTTGTAGTATCTGAAGCTGTGAGCTAACTAGATTATTTCTCCTTTAGTTTGAAGATTAGTACCTAAGTTTTGTTTTTATTCAGTAGGAGAAAATTATGGTGCATCCACATATTGATCTGTTCTAAGCATTTACCAAACACTGACGGGTTCAGTCACCTGGTGAGATTGTAATATAAAGCCGCGTGTCATCAGCATAGTTATGGTAACTGATCAGGTTGTTTGCTATAATCTCAGCTAACCGAGCATGTAGATTTGGGGGAGTGGCAGCCTAGTGGTCAGGGCAAGAACAGCGGAGTCGGTGCTGTCGCATCCCAGATGAAAGTAAATCAGAATCACAGATGGCTTTCGCTGTATTGCGTCGGACTCACCGTCTTTTCTCTTTTCTTTTGTCAACAGCTCATAGTACGACCTTCATCTGGGTCAGAATTTTTGTCCAGGGCCCTGTTCGGCATTTGCATTTTTCTTTCTCAGAAACATCTCCATCACTATGGAAGCAAATCGTTACCATATTTAAAATGAAAAAACATTTTCAGAAATACTTTTTCATTTTAAGAATGTTGCTGCATTGTTTGACTCATAAATGAAATTAGTAATCAATAATCCCGTTTGCATTTTCATTTTCCTCTTTAACACTGCTCATCATTTTACCTAATTAAAATTAAAAAGAAAAAGACATTTGAGATTTATTTTTTCAAAATGTACCCCAGTAAATACATACCAAAATTCAATTTGAAATGTAAAATTTGAAAATGAAAAAGCATTTCCAGAAATGCTTTTTCATTTTAAGAATGTGGCTGAATTATTTGCCTCATAAATGAAATTAGTAATCAATCATCCGATTTGCATTTTCTTCTTTAAGGCTGCACAATTTATGCCATAATCAAAGAGAAAACACAGCGAACATTGCTTTATCGTTTTCATGGTCTGCCTGCATGGTACTGTCCACAACTCTAAAACGAAAAAGCATTCTGAGCGGCGGGGGCAGCAGTGACATCAGCAGCCGCTCTTCCTTAGGATCCTTGCTGACCAGGCTACCTATCTTCTTAATTCGTATTTTGAAAAATGAATCTCAAATGTCTTTTTTTTTTTATTAAGTAAAAGGATAAGCAGTGTTGAAGAAGAAAATGCAAAAAGGATTATTGATTACTAATTTTATTTATGAGTCAAACAATGCAGCCACATTCTTAAAATGAAAAAGCATTTCTGAAAATGCTTTTTCATTTTAAATATGGTAACGATTTGCTTCTACACATCACTGTCACTTGCTTGTATTTCCCAGGGTGCACCTTACGATCTCTTACTGTATGAAAATCACTGGTCTAGTCCATCTCCTAGACCCAGGTATAGCATCCCGGAACAAGCATGAGGGTGTAGAAAACTGCATTAAGCTACTTTGCTCAGCATTAAGCAACTTTTGGTTATTTCCTGTCATGTGAGGGGGGAAATATTCCTGTTATTCCAAGAAAGTATAGTATGTAATATAAAGTATCTCTGATGTGGTCAGATTGGGATTTGAATACTTCAAGCACAATGAGATGGTAATTCAACCAAAAGGAGAAACTTCTTTAACTATATTCAACCTGAATAAAACTGCGTTCTGACTCAACTGTAGCCTCTCACCTGTCTTCTTCAGGTGATCCATGGCAGCACTGTGTTTCCTGGTTTCCGGACCTTCGGGTACTCCCTGGCTGCAGGTGTGGATGTTGATGGCAATGATTATCCAGACCTGTTGGTGGGCTCTCTGGATGACAAAATCGTCCTCCTCAGGTAGAACACAAGTTACTTTTTTTAGTGCAGCTGATGATTTTTGTTTTTTTATCTTCTGCTGACCAACTGATTCTTCAGGTCTCGCCCTGTCGTCCAGCTAAATAACACACTCAGAGTTTCTCCGGATATCGTCGCCCTAAAAGACTGTAACTTCTGGTGAGATTTAAAGGAAATGCAGACTGTTAAGGTTTGCTTTCATTGTTGTATTATCATTAATGGTGTCTGTCTCTTAGCATCCAGGTGGAGGTGTGTTTCTCCTTCAAGGTCCACGCTGGAAAAAACTTAAGCATCATCTGTAAGTCCACAGTTTATTCAGTGATACATCTTTAGGGTAGCAGAGCTATGCTAATATTATATAAATATGTACATATTATATATGTACACTACTGTTCAAAAGTTTTGGGTCACATTGAAATGTCCTTATTTCTGAAGAAAAAGCACTGAACTGTTCAATGAAGATAACTTTAAACTAGTCTTAACTTTAAAGAAATACACTCTATGCATTGCTAATGTGGTAAATGACTATTCTAGCTGCAAATGTCTGGTTTTTGGTGCAATATCTACATAGGTGTATAGAGGCCCATTTCCAGCAACTATCACTCCAGTGTTCTAATGGTACAATGTGTTTGCTCATTGGCTCAGAAGGCTAATTGATGATTAGAAAACCCTTGTGCAATCATGTTCACACATCTGAAAACAGTTTAGCTCGTTACAGAAGCTACAAAACTGACCTTCCTTTGAGCAGATTGAGTTTCTGGAGCATCACATTTGTGGATCAATTAAACGCTCAAAATGGCCAGAAAAAGAGAACTTTCATCTGAAACTCGACAGTCTGTTCTTGTTCTTAGAAATGAAGGCTATTCTATGCGAGAAATTGCCTAGAAATTGAAGATTTCCTACAGCGGTGTGTACTACTCCCTCTACCAGAGTAGAAAAAGAAGTGGGAGGCCGCGTTGCTCAACTGAGCAAGAAGATAAGTACATTAGAGTCTCTAGTTTGAGAAACAGACGCCTCACAGGTCCCCAACTGGCATCTTCATTAAATGGTACCTGCAGTATCCTGTTTGTGCTGTCCTCTGAAGGGAGTAGTACACACCATTGTAGGAAATCTTCAATTTCTTAGCAACTTCTCGCATGGAGTAGCCTTCATTTCTAAAAACAAGAATTTCAATGTGACCCCAAACTTTTGAACAGTAGTGTACATATATTACATATATAAACATCAATATAAAAGCATTTTCTGATCATGATTTAAAATCATACTGCATAATGTTTTATAGATAATATGCATTTGTTTTGTGAGTTTTTATTTAATTTACATCATGAGTGAGGGGTGTCCAAAGTGTGGCCCTGGGATGATTTTGCAAACCAGAATTCAAGAAACTATTGTTTGGAAGCCCAGACTCTTGATTAAGAGTCAATTATAAAATGTTAGGTTTCAATTTTCAATGAGATTAGGCCTTTAAAAGAGGAGATACAAACTATTTAAAAGCTATCTAAAGACAATATAAGGTTAAAAAAAGAGAACTGGGTTTATTCCTTTTCATTTAATAAGGCAGAGGCAACCTGATCCACAGAAACGTAACCTGGCTCTGGGGACGTGGAATGTCACCTTGCTGGGAGAGAAGGAGAATGGGAATGTGCAGGAGGTGGAGCAATACTGGCTGGAAAATAGTCAGACTTACTTCCACACAGAGCCTGGGGTCTTTACTCTCTTCACTGTGGAGAGGCCCACAGGAAGAGACCGAGAGGGGGGGCGGTCTGCTTGTCTCTCCCCAGATAAGGTGTCTTGTGTTGTGTCTTGAGTTTTTAGAGTCAGTTTCTGACTTTGACATTTCTGCTACCGCTGGGGCAGACAGAATTGACTAAGACTGCTGGATAGGTATAAAAATAGATACAGAATGAGAATCGGGCGGCCTTCTTATTTAAGCCTGTCCATTTATCTCTACAGAAATCAGACTGTTTGGCCTCTTCAAGTCAATTGTTTCATGCTTATTTTACTGTTGAGGAAGTAAAAAAAAAAACAATTTTAATTAGAAAACATTTTGATCATAAATCGGTTGGTCTATGAATTCTTTAAACATGACATCTTTTGTCCCTGTGACAAAAACTTTGAACACCACGGATCTAAAGTTTGCTATCCAACTATAATCAGCATAAACTTCTGTTTTTTTTTGTCAATGTTGGGGATGAGAATACGAGACACATCAATTCAACACTAATCCCTTGACTTAAGGTGAGACTCTATTTGTAGATGAATGCTGAAAAGCTTCTGCCGGTCAGAGGGAAGAGTTTAAGTTTACAGCCTCATTTTTGAGGCACGTCATTGAGGGATGGCCTCGTTTCCACAAAGATTAGGATATTTCTTTACCTAGTTAATTTTCAGTTCAGTTTATTTCTATAGCACCAATTCACAACACATGTCATCTCAAGGCACTTTACATTTCACCAGATCATCCAGTCAGATTGA